TCCTTTTCTTGTTGTTTTCACACCACATTCGTTACAATACCAAAGGTTTCCGAGATTAACTGCTCCTCAGGCTTACTAAAAACGTTTGAGTATCCAACATAACTCGTATTTCATCCAAGCACAATCCATACTATAGTTGGCTCAGGTACTTGGAATATATCAGCGATCTTTTTTCTTTCACACCCCACCTCGAACTGTATCCATGGCTTCCGTAAAATCATTTTTGTCGAGTTTTGACGCTGGAGTTTTTTTTTTTTAATTTTTAACCACTGACTATCTAAAACAACAGAAATAAGATACAAACAAACTGATTTGCAGCCACGATACACTTTCGGGAGTGCGCTGTGTTCATGCAACTGCTTCTTGAGGCACAAATTTATATACAAAGAATACAATATTTAGGAAGATTTATTTTCTTCTAAGGTAACTTAATAATTTACATACGTCAAATAGCTTAGCTTAAAGTAGTTGGCGGGAAGTAAAAGGGGTGCCGGCTACCGAGCGGGTCCAAGTCACAATTTTTAATGAAAAAATTCAATTTGATGGCATTTCGCATGTATAGAACTCCTCATAAGTAAATTCTCTAATTTAGAATCCTCATTAAATACAATTAAAATGCTGGGTCCGCTTTTTAAGAGCTGCCGTGCCCGAGCGAGGGCAATTAATTTTATATTGATTTTTCGTTAGCTCGACCGGCTGCCGCTAAGCAGTCGATCGGTTAACGAAATTTATCCAGCAACGATATGGGAATTTGGCGCGTGATGTGGCATACGAAAATAGTGGGAACGGACGAATAATTCCACGCGCACGGCATTTACATACGAAACTTATGGCGGTTTAAGTAGACGCTTAAACAAGTAATATTTTATCAAAATAAAAGAAAATCTATTTTAAAATGTATTAAAATCAACTTTTATTGACGCCAATACAATAAATTTAATTTCGGCAAATTGTAGCTCTCCCATTTCGTCGAACTGTGGCATTTAAATTTTTAAATATTTTCAAGTAGCTTTGCCAAGGCACTTGACATAATCTACAAAACAAGCAGAAAAAAATTCACAACCAAGACGCGTCGTATTAGTGACGTGTAATTACAGTTTCCCATTTACATATAGTCATAAGTGTACGAAAATACATATAAATGTTTACGAATATGAGTAGTAAGCAGCAGCAAACGAGAGTCACTTGTATGTTCACTCGGCCTAAAATACAACCAGAGCCTGCCTGGTGTTTTGACAAACCACAACTAACAGCAATGATGGTGAAATAAAAAAAAAACAAAAACAAAGAATGAATAATTAATTTAATTTAAAATTAAAAGAAGATAAAATAAAAAAAAAAAAAAAAGTTAGATATTTTAACATTTGCTGAATCTGCTTTATTCAACACATTGTATTTCATTTCCTTTTCACCACAAAATTATTTAACAGTATTCCATTCTAGTGAAAGCAAGTTCGTCGACTTTCCAAAATGTGCTCAAGGTAAGCGCAACGCCACTGAGCGCAGGCGTTGAGAAAATGAGCGCACTAACTAAAATCCGCGTGAGAGCACAATTTTCCAGTGATTTCTTTTTAGTACAAAGAGCATAACAGTGACGCTAACGGTGTTATTAAATTAACAGGAGCCCACTGTTGTTGGCCAATCGGTGCAGGTGAGAGCTCGTGTACGTATCAGATTTTGCACGATTTTTGCGCATGAAAATGGTTGTAGAAACTTAACTGTATGTTAGCTGTGTCCTTAGTAAGGCCTCAAGTGGCGCCTGGTAAGCATGTCCTGCTGGCTGTCGCTGTAGAGTGGCTATTAAGTTAAATAATTTTAGAAAAAAATTAAAAAAAAAAAAATTTTCGTTTGTTTAAATACATTTTTATAATTTTAATTAAAGGAATTACAATTAAATTTATAATAAAAAATATTTTAAATTAGAATTAAAACTTAAATTAATTAAAATTATATATTAAGAATATTAAATATTTATTTTTGTTATTTTTTTCCACGCTCTCCCAACCAAAATCCACTTGAATTTATTTTTTATATTTTTGTATGTACAAAACCATTGCGCTTTACTCACATTTTATCATCACTTCATTAACAGCACTAAGTCCGGAACGTTTCTTGCTTTGTTCTCACCGTCTACTTGCCTTGCGATTTCTTTTGGTTCTATTATTTTTCCATAATCTTTATCTTTGGGATATACACTTGTCAGCATGCCTCACTGTCTATCTGCTGTCTTCTTATATATAGTATATGTTTCACTTACTTATTTGTACAGACACACAGAGGAGTTGGCATGTCGGTCGGTCAGCCAAGCCAACATGTCTCGGAAGTAAATAAGTTTATGTAAATTTACACATGTACACATGTATGTATGCACATATGTACACACTGTTCATTCAACTGTTTGCTTATGTATGCACAAATACATATGTATGTCTGCATATATATATATATTTACATATGTATGTATGAATCTACAAACTGAATCATATTTTCTCAGCGAAACGTAAAGGCACTAGCGACCGCTTCCTTACTGCACTAACTTCATGCATGCATACAAATGTACACAGCCATATACATATATACATGTGCATGTATTTATTCAACTATTTCTTCGCAAAAGCACACAAACTTAAGGAGTTTTCTTTATTTTTTTATTTTCGTGTTGGGAATTCGAGGTGTTGCACAGCACAGCACAGTTCGTTTGTGTTGGGAGAGTGCACTTCAAATAGCTCACCAAGTGAACCTGAATTTTTGTTTTTGCTTCCTTTATATTTCTTTTAATGTTTATTTATTTATTTTTTCTTTGTTTGCCCTTTACTCTTGCATATTTTGTCCGAGAAGTTGCTTTTTTTTGCGCACAAGTATTATAGAGTCGTGTTTCCTTGTTTTGAGATTTAATGCTTGCTTCTTCTTCTTAGTCATCTGTTTGCACATTTCCATCTTCTTTGTTTGCTCAGCTATTTGCATCTTTGCTTCCGGTTTTTTGTACGGAATATCAAGGTGTCGCTGGAGTTGAATTAGTTTTGCATTTTAAGATAATTGTTGAATACTTGGAAATAAATTACGAAAGTGCTTAAAGTTTATTTACAATTGTCGGAGAAGCATTTATTTGAGTTAAGTCTGCGCTCTTAACAGTAGATTTTCTTCTGTATGCAACAGCTGGGTTGGTGGTCACGGGGTTACTAGCGGAAAGCAGCATCAACATACCAAACTTACATCTTCTGCCAAATACTATCCGGCGGCAATGGATCGAGAACATAGCCATATAGAGCGGGGGTTATAGCGAAAATACTACAGAAAAAAGTGCTGAATTTATTTTTTCAGAGGACCTTTTACAGCAGGCAGTACGAAATCTACTAGCTACCGCAATACTAGACTTCATGAAATTTTCAAGCTATTGTACTTAGCTGATAAGTTAGCTGCGACGGATGACACCGTTCTCTGAGGTAATGGTTGTAATGCACACCTGCCCGGAACGTAAATTAAAATTTGACTGGTAATGCTATGGAGAGTCGGATACAGCAAACGCATTGAGGCTGAAAGAGGTCCATTGTCCTAAGGTGGGTAGGAGATCCCGGTTTCATGGAGAACAGCAGGAGGTTAAGTCAGAGCATTTGAACCCCAAGTTAAAAGAGAGAATAAATTTAACTTCATTTCTTCATAAATACATTGGAGAGTTTGATAAATATGGAAAGATATTTTGTAGGCAACTTCTTCGACATACCTGTATCGCTTCATAATATCTTCTTTGAATCTTGATGCATGTCAGCGTAGGATGTAAAGAGGCGCGCCACAGTTTGGAGTGCTATCACGTTCACTTTGAACCGCCGTAGTCGATAGAAAACTCTTGTAGGACCCAGAGAGATGATCTAGTGACGAATGCCCAGACTATACTAAGCTTAAGGAGGGATTACTTCTCAAGCCTACTGAACGGCAGTGAAATTGAAACATCCGGAGATGCTGAGATGGGGAAACCCAAATCGATGACGATGGAACAGATATTCCATTACTTGATCATATCGATGTTCGACTAGCGATTACCCGCTTAAAAAACAGCAAAGCGGCTGGGGCTGACGAAAGCATGCCCGATGATGGGAATTTGAGTGTGCTCTGCGCAATCCATTAAAAAGGGTACCCCCAGTTTGTGTCAATTACCGTGGAATAAGTCTTCTTAGTATCGCCCATAAGGTCCTGTCGAGTGTATTGTGTGAAAGACTGAAGCCCACCGTCGACAAACTGATTAGACCTTATCAGTGTGGCTTCAGACCTGGTAAGTCCACAATTGACCAGATATTCACCATGCGCCAAACCTTGGAAAAGACCCTTGAAAAAAGGATCGACACACAGATCTGCTTCTATTCACAAGGGTATGCAAAACTGCAGCATACATGTGATCGGAATTGATAAATTCCTCTTTACAGCCGATACTGAAGACTAAATACTTCGAAAGGGTCTTCACACTTATCACCAGTGTGCTCAAAACAAGGGTGTCTATGTTTTTTCGATAGAGCGCCCTTATTAACATAAGTGATACGCTTCGAATCAGCTAAAAATCAGGAAATTCTGACCCACTAAAATACCGTTAAGGCCGAATACACTATGTAGCATGACGCGCCTGACAGACAATGCCCTTCTTAGACGCCTTCTTTATTTTAAACAGAGAATTTTTCATTTAAAAACTACTTTTTATGAGATAAACTCGAGACGAAAGAGAATATTCGGCGTGTTATTGGCGACATAAGGGCCCAAAGACTGCAAAAGTGGTCTTAAACCAAAATAAAAATAAAAAAAATTCTTGGCCTTAAAATTAAATTATTTGTAATATATTTGTTCTTTAAAACCACACCACTGGACAAACACCCTTAATTTAATAGCTCTAAATTAATATGATTTCTAAATTTACATATAAACATATTTCTCCCATATCAAAACTCTCATTGAAATTGGTGTAAAAATTTTATCTTTTTTAATTTATCAACTTATTATCATAAGTCAGCATATTTTTATCTCTGCAGCTGCACATTACCGTTAGTCTATAGCTTACGTACCTCATAATCAAAATCATAGTTGTTGTAGCGCCGTCTGTTATAGTTGCCACTGCCTTGTTGGCCACGTTGACTTTGTCGTCGTACTGCATTTCTGCGATTACCATTTTGATTGCGTCGTCGCTTTTGTTGTTGCTGTGGTCTCAGTTGTTCCTGTTGTTGCAGACGTCTACGTTGTTGCTGATTCCTTTTGCGATTGTTTTGCAAACGACGTCGCTGTTGCTGTTGCTTCTGCTTTTGAGCGGGCTGATGACGCTGCGCCTGACGGTGACGATTGCTGCCGCCCTGACGCAAGCCATTCGGACGTTGGCGTCTTGTACTGTTGCCATTGCCTTTACGTTGATTGTTGGCCTTTTTGTTGCCGCGTTTACGCTTTTTCGGCGGCAATTGTGGGCGATCATCGAAATCGTTAAAATCCTCATCGTCAGCACCACTAGCGCTGGCATTGGGCTTGTCGCTGTTGTTGCTGTCCACTGCATTGTTGTTGCTGTTATTGTTACTAACTTCGTTTGCATCTGCAATCGCAGCTGATTGCTGTGATTCCTCCGGCATATTTGCCTCCTGCTCTCGCTCAGCGGTGTTTATCACTTTGGTTTCCACTTCACCGATATGCACATTGATCACCTCATCACAGGGTACATCACTGTAAATGACAACACTGCCGTAATTACATATATGCGGCGCATTGTCGGTATCAACGTTCTGACGACTCTCAATGCGACCGATGCCATTCTTATCGGTCACCTCGTAAATGTTGCCATCTCGCGTAATGAAACCGGTCACTTGTAGTGGCTTGGCTTGTCTTGGCGGCGCTGCGACAGGAGCGCCGTTGACAGCTACTGTAGGCGGCGTTTGCAAGGGCTTTGGCTCAGTGACATTTTCAGCTTTAATTTCCTGCTTTGCAGTGGTCGAGACGAGTTGTGGTGGCGCATTTATGATTATAGCGGCGGGCTTAGTTGGCGCTGACGTCGGCTTCACCTCATCAGCGGGTGGTGGTGGTGGTGGTGTGGATGTGTATAGCGGTGCGGATGTGGGTTTCGCTTTCGAAGCAGCAACAGCCGGTGTGCTTGCGGAGCGTGCTACAACAATAACACCTTTGTCGGCTGTAAGAAATTTGTATTATTCCTGTGATTAATTAAATTTAAGTGCTTTCGATTTCCCTACCATTGACTGCAGTGAGCAAAAAGCCGGCGCCCAACAGCAGGCTGAAAAGTATGAACTCACAGCGCATATTCTTGGCTGCGTTAGCGCGTAAAAAAATCTTTGGTATTATGTGTTACGCTATGCGAGAATGACTAAACAGGTGAGGCGGTACTGCGGACGCTTTTATAAACTTCGCTTGGCGAAGAAATTTCGAAAAATGGCACAATGATTGGTCAAAGCCCAAGGTGTGTTCTAACGGCAAAATGCTAAAGCGTAAAATTAAAAAAAAATTTTGACATATTTATAAATATGTTTGTATGTATGTTTAATTGACTTCGCATAAATTAGTTGGCAAAAAATTATTTTTAATGATTTTCTATTGTAAGTTGAAGAAAGTGGCGAAAAAGAATAAAATAAATCTTGGCATAACAAATTGAAAATTATATATTTTTAACACAAACTTTGAGCTCATACAATATAAAATGATTAGTGAAAATTAATATAAAAAACACTAAAAATAAAATTATAAAAAAAAAACTTTTCGACCTAAATAAGTTTGCTTCTTCAAGCTGCTGCTTCTTCTTTCACTTTTCTACTGATACTTCTGTGTTTACATCACCACAGATATCATTAGGCAGCAGTTTTGTATCTTTCAGTTTTTTCAAAAAATGTACAACAACAACACAACAGCTTCTTTTGTTCCCAACTACTTCGTATCATTAATCGTTTTGACCGAAAAGAGGTCAACGATCGTTTAATAATATTTTCGGCATTACAAGCGAAGAAGAAAGAGATCATGTTAATATGTAAATCGGTGATAGACAAGACAAGATAATTCGCTGAAATGTTTTAGATATATGTGATATGTATATGTATTGACCAAAATATAAAATGCTAAAACAGAGCTTAAGCTCTGGTTAAAAAATTTAATAATAATAAAAAAAATTTAATTTAACTTGAATAACTTAAAAATAACATATCATTCTCATAAGATACATATTAAAAATTGTATATAAATATGAATAAATATTTTATATTATTCTTCTAATCAATTGGCGCTGGTTTACTTGCGCGCTTATAGCCAAATCAATGTTAGCTCATCAGTCAGTTCTTTGGCTTCGGCGCCAACTGCAGACTCAAAGTGAATCCAAAATCCTCTCAGGCGTATCTTTTCAACGTTATGGAGATCTTTCTTCTATTTATTTCTCTTTCGCTTCTATCGGTGCGTATTACCAAAAACTTTCAAATCCAGGGCGTTGTTGCCCATTACCTAGCCAAGGTAGCCATTGTCTCTGAATTCGCTGAACGATATCAAAGTCGTCACCATTACATCACCAACTTACCGGATGACGTCATGTCTTAAAGTATGCCGATTAAATTTTCAGGAAACTCGTTTTCCAGATAAGCTCCAATTAGTTGGATGACAATGGCTTTTAGTGTTTCAAGTTGACGCTCGATCTTATATAAGTTATTGAGAAGTCTTATCTTATGGGAACTAACGCAGAGTATTGGGTTCCGCGTTTTCTGAACTGGGCACAGCAGATTAAGGTTCAAATCGGGTGGCTTCAATTCAGCCGAGCAAATTTGTAAAACATACGCTTTGTCAATTCATCGCCATATTTGAATAGCTCAGCCAGTAAGCCGTTGGCTTTTACCGATTTGTAATTTTTATGCGGACTTCTTCATAGCCGACTAGTAGATTGAGTATTTGATAAGGCACAAATGACCATTTAATATTAACAAGTATTCAGCAGAACTTAGAAATGTTAGCCCTTTTTAATCAGTAATTTGTAGGTCGCCAAATCAACTCTTTGGAGCAAACACTAGTACGCTACGGACTTGAAACCTTTTGTAAGTTACCATATTTAATATATAAACTTTAGACCAAAATCATTTTCGGCTAGTTTCTCAGATTTTCACACTCACGTATTTCGGTCTTACCGGTTTTCTGTCCCCAATTGCTTTTATCTAGAATTATCGGTAAGTTAGGCAACTTTTTCTCTCCGCTGCGCTACGATAATGTCCATTATATGTACTGGATTTTCTTTCGGCTTAGTCAAAATTCAATAGTTTTTTCGGTGGAACTACTTAAAAAGCTGGAAATGACATCCACAGTACAGACTTTTTGATAAGCGTTTTGAGGGCTTTAAAAAACTCTTTGGCTGACGACATTTGAACCTCGCAAGCGCACGAAAGTCTATTACATAGTGATCGGTTTACTTACAAGTCCCACGATTCGGTGAGAGCCATGTTGTTTAAAGGTTTCTTTTACGTCCAAAACTGTCGATCAGTCTCAGAATATTTGGAATGTTTCGTCATGAGGGCTGAATATACCGAGCAGCACTTACAAGTACACGCTAGGCGATCAAAAATTACATTTTTGAACCAATTTTCCTGAGTTACTCCAGCGCAAATACAAAATACAAAAGTACTCTTTATACAGCTGCTGTAGTAACGGCCACAATAATCAACTCTCTCTCTCTCACTCTCTCTCTCTCTCTCTCTGCTTTCAATTATGCGCTTAGTAATCCAGGTGCATATCCTGCAAGTTTTAATCCGAGGCTGTTGTTTCGTTTTCAGTACATTAGTTTTTTAAGTGAAGGGTTCCAAGTTCAGCGCTTCAAGACCGGCTCGCATTCACATCCCTATCTCTACCTCAGATAAACAGTTGCTGCAATGAGGACCTAGTGAACTGCAAAACGAAATATGTAAAAGCGATCGCACTAAAGTTTCCTCTTTTTTAGAAATAACTCAAAGCTCGCCACGGGTTACTCGCACAAAGCTTGATTACGTTTTCAGAACGTTTCCAGCATGGAACAGTAGGAATTGGATATAGCAACCTCTTTGCCTCTCCAGAACCTAAGCTAAGCTGTTAGCTCCTCTTTTTTTATTATTATTTATTATTTTTTTATAGTTTGATGTTTAAAATGTAAAAAACATTGATGCTTTGAAAATTTTTACATGAATTCTCCATCAGAAAAAGAAGGAAAAAAACGACTTATTATTTATGAACTCTATGGAATTGAAAACATATCGGTGTTATCACTGTTTCATGAAAATGCACATCACTTTACCTTTGTCCAATTTTGAATTTGTGTTTTGCTTCTATTTAAATAATTCCAATTGTCATTTTCATAATATTTTAAAAGCCTCCACATTTTTTGTTTAACCTTTTCTGCTCTACTTTATTTGTTGACACTTGAAACTGCTAAAACAATATTTCGCTTTTATCGCTATTTCTTAATATGAAATGTATGAATCATAAAATAACGGTAGCTTGAGAGAAGCATATTTGTAAATTGGCTCCTAAATTGTCAAATCGTGTATAGACAATAAAAATTACTTAGATTTTATATGCAAAGTACTTGCATAATACATATGTATAGCAGCAGCAATGGCAAAGGTTTGTAGAGCTAGAAGCAGAACTATTTCAATAATGTTTACGCTGTTGGGCTCAGGAATATTTATTTAATCAATTAAAAATATATAAACAATGAATAAAATTAAAAATTGAAATATATAAACAGAAACCTTTTCTATATCTTTGATTAATAAAAATAAATGCAAATAAACTAAAAGAAAATAGTATAAATGAGAAAATAAAATATATAAAATTAATAAAATAAAATAAAAAAAAAAAACAAAATAGATTTAAGTTAAATAAAAAAATAAATATTATAAAGAAATTAAAAATTTAATTAAATAAAATAAAATAAAATAAGAACATGAAATAAAATAGAAAAACGAGCTCAAATAAAAAGAATAAGTAAGCAAAATGGATAAAAAAAATATTATTAAATAAACAAGTTTAGACAAAATAGGTAAAATAAGATTAAGCAAAACTTAATTAAATTTTGATGAACTAAATAACATAAGGTAAAATAAAATGAAACAAAAAAAACTAATATAAAATCAAATAAAATGAAATGATATCAAATAAATAAACTAAAATACAAAATCTAAAATTATATTAAACACAATTTAATTAAAGTATGGTTAAATAAATAAAATAAAGTAAAATCAAATAAAATAAAAAATAAAATAAATAAACAAAATAAAATTAATTTAAATTAAATATATCAACACAAAATAAAATTAAATATAATTATATTAAGGAAAATAAAATAAGATATATGAATGTAGAGTAAAATAAAATAAAAAAAATTAAATAAAAAAATATCAAAATATGATTAAAATACAATGAAATAAAATAAAAAAAAAATACAATATAAAATAAAAAAACATAATGTAATGAAATTAAAAAAATAAAAATCAAGTAACTAAGAAAATATAAGTAAATAATAAAATAAAATAAAATAAAATAAAGAAATTAAAATAAAAAATGACAAAAAATTAAAAAAATAAAGTAAATAAACTCAAACAAAATTTAAAAAAAGACTTAAATTAAATAAATATTATTAAATTAAATTAAATTAAATTAAATTAAATAAAACAAAATAAATAAAATAACAAATTATTAAAAATATGAAACAAAATAATATAAATGAAAATAAAATAAAAAAATTAAATGAATTAAAATAAATGAAAACACCAAAAAAAAATCAAAACGAAAAAAAAATAGATTCAAATTAATTAGAAAAGATGTTTTTTTATATAAAAATTAAAAAAAACATAGAATAAAATAAAATGAAAAAGAAATTCAATAATTTAAAATGAAATAAAGTGAAAAGAAATGAAATGATGTAAAATAGATAAATTAAAATAAAATAATAAGTAAAATTAGAGAAAAATATATTTAAATTAAGGCAAACTAAGTAAAACAAAGTAAAGTAAATTAAAACTATTAAAAAGATATAGAGAATATACATATTTTTATTTATCGCATTACTCATTCAGCTGCCATGCACCTTAGCGCTCACTTATTACAACAAGGCAACAGCAACAACAATCAACCAAAATCGAGCAGTTTTACATAGAAATTCCGAAAAGGAAATATTCATAAAGCTTAATGGCAAATTGGAATTTCCATCTACATGCCAACAACGCAACCTAGGAACCTAGAAACAAACACTTGCCTTCAAACATACATACCGACACTCATACATAGGAGACTGTCGACGCGGCACATCCCCAAA